GGGGGGGGTAGAAACACTTAGACTTGGTTGGTGTAGGCTTAAACAATAATAGATTTCGGTATTTCTCTGGAAACTTGAGTTCAGTCATTCCTCGGCTAGGTACAGATAGATTACCTCAAAGATAGATCGCCTCACAGATAGATCACCTCACAGATAGATCACCTCACAGATAGATCACCTCACAGATAGATTACCTCACAGATAGATTACCTCACAGATAGATTACCTCACAGATAGATCACCTCACAGATAGATCACCTCACAGATAGATTGTTTAACAACATATGTTGAGAGTTCAGTCACCCTCTCTGGGAACAGATGGATTATCTAACCATATATGTTGAGAGTTCAATCATTTCTCGGCTAGGAACAGATAGAATATCTAACCACATATGTTGATAGTTCAATCATCCTGTATAGGAACAGATGGATTATCTCACTGATAGGTTATCTAACCACACGTGTTCAGACTTCAGTCATCCTCTCTAGGAACAGATAGATTATTTAACCACACGTGTTGAGAGTTCACCGCAGGAGTTGAAGGCAGCTCTGTCCTCCGTCAGTAGACTGACCTGGGTCTTTCTATAAACACCAATCACTTATTTGACGAAACCGGGAAATGAGCTTGCCCCCCCCCTCTCTCTCTCTCTCTCTCTCTCTCTCTCTCTCTCTCTCTCTCTCTCTCTCTCTCATTAACTCTTAATGTACGACACGCCAGTTCAGCTGACTCGCAGAATCGCTCGGTTGTTAACAGTCAAAACAGAAGTCTACCAAACCTCAGCAAATTCATCGATCTATTATACTACTACTGTAAGTTTGCAGCTTGGGTCGTTCATTTCTTCTCAGTTTTGTGTTTATTGTATGCATTTATTGTATGCAAATGAGCTAAAGAGGTGCAGAATTATAAGAGACGTTTGTGGTGCTGAAAAACGAGGACGACAAAATTGGCTGCTAACTTACAAGGAAGGACTAGCCTGCCGTATACTAAGAGAGTTACGACAAAAGATGTAGGCTATAGCCCCCGGGGACAAAGGAGGAGGGGATAATTACGTTGTTGACCTCGGCCTATACGTTCTTATACTATCTCTGACCATCTAGACCTCGGCATATATCTGTCACTAGTGACTTTTTGACCGCTCGGGGACGATCTGCGCATATTTTTGTTTCAGGACACGCGAGGACATCGCTGATTGCTCCCAGGTCTCCTGTATGTTATGACCAATCGTTTGTTTGAGCCCTCTCTGATTGTACCGAAACGTGGTCTCTGATAATAATAATAACAACA